CACCATCCTGTGATGTAGGTGCTTGTCTTAGTTCATTTCCTGCTGCTATGACTGAATACTTATAAACAATAAAGTCTGATTTAGCTCATATTTCTCAAGGTTAGGAATTTTGAGGTTGGGTGGTAGCATCTGGTGAAGTCCTTCTTACAAATGGGGACTCTACCAAGTCCCAAGATGACAAAGAATATCATATAACAAGATAGAACCTCAGTTCTTATAAAGATATAGACCCACTGAATTAGGGTTTCACCCTTATGGTCCCACCCTCATGACCTCCTTTAATCTTCCTTGTATCCCCAAAATTCTGAAATACCTACAAATACCATATTTTTATTAAATTGTACCCTCTTAATACCTCATAATGAAGACTCAAGTTTCAACTTGAGTTTAGTGGGGACATTCAGACCAGAGGCTCATATTCAAGATRAGAACACTCATCCCAGAGAGGTTCAATCATTTGCCCAGGCCCACACAGCCAGGGAGTAGAGGGATTTCTGTGTCAGTCAGTGTCTGTCCTGTGTGTACCCACTTTCTTTCTGAGGAGGGCCCATGTGCTGTGTACCTCCCACTGCCCACTGAATGACAGCCACCTAGGCACAAGCTGGCACCCCAAGCAGGCCTCATAGAAGCTTTTCTATAAATGCAATCAGAATATGTTTCCAATTTACGAGGTAGGCATTTTTGAGAAATGTCCAAAGCATGGATCAGTCGGTGAAAAGAGGTGACGAATGCTGGGCAATATCTTTGTCCTTTGAGCTGGGAAAAATCTTTAGAAAAGGCATTTATTGTATGATCTTTGTCTTGGGCCTTCTGGCTGTACCTCTGGAGGCCCCAGCAAAAGCCAGAACCAGGGATTTGCATTTTTTGCCCTGTGAATATCATTCCTGCTCTTGAGGAAGATTTTGTGCCTATTGATTGTATGGCTATGTCACCTCCCAAGCYGTGTCCCCTCTCACCTGTGCTGTGGCAGCAGGACCACAGGTGGATCTCCGGGACCCCAAGCTTACTCTTCCAGCCTGTCCACCAGCTGCTATCACTCCCTGGCCTGTAGCGTTGGCTGTCCCAGCCACAACAGGAGGAAATGCTAACATCCTGTCCCATCCTGGCTCTGCTCTACAGCAGCCACACAGGAGGTCTGGCTACTCGGGTCACACCCTGACCACCTAGCCCCAGACCTCTGTTTGGCCTGGGGTACCTAGCTCCCTGTGTGCTCAAAGTCCTACCCATCCTTTAAGGCTAGGCTCATAGCTCCCCTTCTCCCCAGAGGTAKTCCCAGGCCTCAGGCTAGACAAACCTCACTTTTCCAAACAGCTTTTATGAGGTTTCAGCAAAGAAGGTGAGTGCCCCTCAGAGGATGGCAGTGAGTTCAGACAGGGAAAATGAAGCAAAAGACTAGACCCCCCTAGAGCTGTGAGGGCCCAGGAGGAACAACCCTGCGGCAGCAGAGTAGAATCAGGCTCAGCAGACAAGAAGGACCTTTAGACAGGACTTGGACTATTCTGTCCTTTTACAAATGGGGAAACAGAGGCTCAGGTGGGAAAGTAGTGTCACYGAGGCAAGAGAGCCCTGTGCTGGGAGACAGGAGCCTGGATCCCCCAACCTGAGCAAGTCTCCCCACCCTCTGCAGGCTCCATTTTCTCACATATGAAGTGCAGTCAGTTGTACCCATCTTGTGACCCTTCACAGAATAGTCAAGAGCATTACATGAGATTCTGGATGCAAGGAGGTCTTGGGGACTGATACAGGGTCGTTGTCATCATGGGGTGGCATTTGCTGAGCCTTCACTGTGTGCCAGGTACTCTGTTCATGTGGCCTCTACAAAAACCACATGGTCTTTACAACAAGCTTTCAATTGCCCTATTTAATAGAGGAGGAAACTGTAGCACAGGAAGATTGAGTGGCCTGTTGGGGGTCACAAAGCTGGGAAGAGACAGACCCAGGATTTGAGTCCACACTGGCTCCAGGACCCTTGTTTCCAGCTTCTGTGCCAAACTGACTGAGGCCCATGGGATCCAGTGGTAGCTTGTGGGCTTGAACCTCCTGTGATCTACTGCTTCCCAGTAAGCTTTGTGGCTTGGATAGAATAGGAATGTAGATAGCTTCCTTGGTGATTGAAGACCTGGCCTCCCCATATCTCATGGGGTGAGGGCTCCCTATACTTAGCCAGCTTCCTATCTAGCACTTCAGATACTCAGGCACCATACATATCAGGTCCTCAACAGGAGGTTGGACCAGCCCCTGGGTCAGCCTCATGCCCTGGAGATGGTCAAGCTCCCCTTATCTAGAGTGCACCAATCTTCTAGGCCATCTCATAGAGCAGGGGCCCCAGGCTGAGGTTGCCTATCACATCACAACTCTTAGCACACCATGGTGGGGGCAGTAGGTTCATTTGCTCCACTGAGGGGCAGGATGGTATGGTAGGCAATGAAGTCAGAGAAATTGGTTTGAATCCTGGCACACAGCAGGAAATACCCCTGACTATGGGGACAAATAATGGAAGTAATACTAGCCATCACCTGAGTTAGAGAAGTCTGCTCTGGTAGTATATCTCTGGTTGACCTAGAAGCTTCCATTTTTTATCCATGCATTCATTCAACAAATAGTTTTCCATGCCTGCTTGATGCCAGGCCTTGTGCTGACGGGTGGGATAGAGACATGGACAAGTCTCTCTGCTCCCCAAGGAGCCTACAGCCTAGTGGAAGGGGCAGGTAATTAACAAGGTAAGCATGATAAACAGGACAGATTGGAGTGGGATGCTCTCTATAGAGAAAAATAGAGCAAGAGAGAGGAATGGGGTGGTCAGGGAAGGCCTCATAGTAGGGTCTTGCCTGAAAGAAAACTAGAAGGAGTAGAGGAGGGAACCACGGTGACATCTATAACAGAAGCCAGGAAGCTACGAGAGGTCCATTGAGTACCCTCTGTCTGTGGGGGCTGGCACACAGATAGAGGAGTCACAGAGGCCAGATACCCATGCCCCAGATTGTTCATCCAGGGCAGGGAAAATCTGGTGCCTGGGGCTGATACAGCAAACTGGGTCTGCCTAGGGAGAGGCAGGAGAGGGACTTCCATGGGAAGAGGTATCCCAGAGCCTTGTCACTAATACTATAAGGCCAGGCAAGTGGGGATGGGGTGGAGGGTAGTGATCCTGAGTTAGGTGCATCCTCTAGAGGAGTTGGGAGCTGTTTGTGGCCCCCTGTAGGCCTCAAGGAGCCAGTGCCAATTTGGGGATAGACAACATGTACAAAACAAACACAGTCCCCGCTCACCCCAGTGGACCTGAGACTTGCACTTTTGGAGGCTGGAGATCAGGGAGGCTTCCTGGAAGAAGCAGCAGTGGACTGGGCCTGGCAGTAGGAAAGATGTTGCTAAATATAGATGGCCTTTGCCACAGTAGCCTGATGCCCCAGGTCCAGGCATGGTGCTGTCAGGAAGTGCCTCTGAAAGAGCAGCTCCACAGGCACCCAGAGCCAGAGGGGAGAGCGGTGTCCCTTCTCTGTGTCTCTGCTCCCCCACCCTGCCCCTGAGGAGGAGGAGGAGGCGGCTCTGTGGTGTGATGGATATGCTGAGGCTGGGCTGCTTCGGCCCAGCACTGTCACCATGCTCTCCCTCCGTATGCCAGAACCTGACACCCTGACCACTGAGGCATAAAAAACAGAGAATTGGAAGGCTCAGCCTGTCAGGCTGGGAGTGGCCCCCAGAGAGGCCTGAGGAGGAGCGCACGTGTGTGTGTGTGTGTGTGTGTGTGTGTGTGTATGTATGCACACACTCTGCCTGTGTGCCTTGGAGGTGGGAAGAGGCTGACTGGTCCCAGTAGCAGGGAGGGCTGGCCCCTCGACTTAGCCTCACTGTTGGGCCCCTACCTGACCAAGCCCCATAGGCCACACATTTGGGCTTAGGCCACAGGAGAGAGCAAAAAATTGCTCTTGGTTCTGAGTTCTGGTTGGCCCCTTCTGGAGACTCTTGCCCTTTGGCCTCTATAGATCTCTATGTGGGTGTTGTAGAGTCATGCTTATGGAGCTGTGTAAAGCCTGTCATCTCCAACAGAGGAGAACCCTGTGCTCTGCACCCAGTAGCTGAAGAAAACCACTCAACAACTGACTTTCCATGCCCTGCCCCAGGGCCTTTACTGGACACACCCTCTGCCAGGCACAGGGGCACCCAATGAAGGGTCAGGACCCAAGCCTGACCCCTGGGGACCCTGGCCACAGAGTGAGACAGGCAGGCCATGGTGGCTGCGACAGCAAGACAGCAAGGGTGTGGAGGACAGGATTCAGGCTCCTGCCTCTGACCTGGATGCTGGTAGGATACCTTCCTGGGGCTGTTGTGCACCCAGGAAAGAGCCAGATGCAGTACACTGTTCTTTAAGCTGGTGGGCCAATCCTYGGGGTATCCCATGTGACCTCCCATTCTGGCACACCTCATAGTACCTACCTGAGCACACCAAGAGCCACTGACAGCTGCCCCAAAGTGCCTAGAAGACTCCATCTGCATCTACAATCAGAGGGTCTGGGTTTATGTCTCATCCCTGACTACAGGAGGCTCTATAGGCAGCCACCCCAGCACTCACAGGCCAGACTGGAGCTGAGGTTATGGGCCGTGAAGCTGAAGCACTCCAGGTTCTGGAGTGGCCTCAGCCAGGACTGAGAGCATGGTGATCTAGGGCTTTGTGCTTGGGCAGGTGTATCATGGTCATTTTGTAAGTCCCTCAGACTTATAAAATGGGCCAGTGACACCCCAGAACACCTGGAACTTGGTGGCTCCATGGTGCCAACATGAGAATGCTTTTCACTCCCAGGCTTTAGGGGGAAATAAACACTGACAAGGTTGGCTGCTCACTTAATAAGGATGTGGCCCTAACCTGCCTTTATTGGTTATGAAAAGTACCTGAAGCTTATATCGAAGGCAAATGGCACCAGCACTCAGGCTGGCTGGGACTCAGGGCTTTTTCCAAACTAGATTTGATATTTAGTTCCTGTTTCTCTCTCCTCCTCCACCTACAGGGAGTGAGTTTTCCGGGAGTCCCTATAGCCATCCTCAGTATTCCTCGTACAACGACTCCTGGAGGTTCCCCAACCCGGGGCTGCTTGGTGAGTACTGGCAGAGGTCTGCCAGGGCCCTGGGCCCTGGGCTGCTGCATCTGAACCTTCTCATTGGGCCAGGGTCCCTCGACATCTTGAGCTTTAGTCACCAAGGTAGGGTGGGTAGCTTGCCCCACACAATGGAATACAGGGGTTGCATGGGGCCCTTAGGGCAGTAACATCACTCTTCTCATGCTCCCATTCCTCCCCAGGATTCTTGGGGGGTTGAGGGAAAATGTCATAAGGTGAAGAGAATAAAAAGACACTGAGGGAGAAAGAAGGTAGGAAAATTCCCTGCCTATGAGGAACTTGTATTTCTTAAGAGCCATTAAAATATGGTGAGAACTCTCTAAATAAGAGGTAGTAAAGACATAAACTTGGATAGATCAGTGGTGGCTTCCTGGAGAACTGTCTTGCTAAGGCCCACTGATGGAACTGAGATGTCTGCCATGGATGGCAGCAGTGCCAGTTCCTTTGGAAGCTTGCTGCTTTATGGCTGAAGGCCTGCCAGGCAGAGCTCAGCTGGTACTCAACTCCTGCCCAAACTTCAAATTGGCAGATTGTCCAAGACTGGTGCCAGTCTGATTGTGAACATCACCAACGTTTTAGGGTTCCCCTAAGATCAAGAAGGACTAACTCAGCCCTCAAAAGTCTAAGAGTCTTTTGTTTTGCTGACATAAACTTACATAAAACCAGCTGGTGAGTGCCAACTGGAACTGGAGGAACTCTAAAGCGGAGACCCTGGGTTATAGATGTCACTTTCCACCTGTGGGTGGAGCCTGCAGGCAGCAACACTGATCCCTCCCCAAGGTCRGCTGAGAATTTTCCACTTGGAGGAGCAAAAGGTCAGACATGGGCCCTCTGAGACCACTCTGGTCTGTCTGTCCAGCTTAACAAGGCCTTTTTAAGTGAGAGCCTGTTAATTCCCTGGATCCTTAATTATTTMAGGACTGAGAAACATAGACTTCATCAGAAAAGCAATAACCTAAGGTCTTCAAACTCAAGTTGACAAAGCATAGGTATGTGAAGGAAGTCCTGAAGTCTTAGCCTTGACCCCCTCCCAAACCTGGTTTAGTGATTAGGACAGACACACAGCACAAACACTACCTCACTCTTGCTACCAGCATTCCATGTCCTTGGGGCCTTGGGCTGCCCAAAGCATTTTGGCATGTCATGCATAACTGTGGATGAAATGAGGCACATTGCCAATTAGTGCTGCGGGTCTCTGTGCAGGGGAGAATCCCAATCTCAGAGAAGCCTGTGAGCTTCTTACTAACTATAGTTTCCCTGAGGACCTGAATCTGCAGATTGATCTCAGACTTCTTTTTTTGATTTGGTCAAAATCATTTCTAAGTATTGAACAAGGGTCTCACTTACCTGATGGTTTTCTCTGAGCTGACCAGTTGTCCATCTCAAGGACCAGAAGGTATGGGCCAGCTCTGGTCTCCCTGACCCAGTGTTTTCTAGCAAGGGTGGAGGCAAGTGGGTGAGTCCTGTGCCAAGAAGTCCCTCCATAGAAATCTCCCTCAGACAGAGCCCTGGTCCCAGTTCTAAGAGACCACAGGGAATGGCTCAAAGGAGGCCTGGGCAACAGTATGGGGCAGTGGCTCCTTCTGATGAGGCTTTGACTCCAAGGAGGTCACATTGACCCAGGGCTTCCATTTATGACTGCCTATGGGGACACATGGAGGCTGAGATCCAACCCACATAGGGCACAAAGTCCTGCCCAGAAGGGGCACCTTTTTCTGATTTTGCATCCTGTAGGTTAGCAGTGGACTTTATTTTTTTGCCTGGAAATTCAAGAGGTAGAGAAGTGAGGACAAAACTGCTGAGGCAGGTGTGACAAAAGGATGGGGTTGCAGGTGGGGTGGTCTGTGGAGTGTGCACAAATGGGGGACCTTGAATGCCAGGCTGAGAAGCTGGCAACTGACTACATGGGCTGCTGGCTAGATGTCCAAGGAACCAAAGCAGGTGGCTGCACCACTTCTGAGGCTTTTGTTCTTCCAACTGGGGAGAAATCGAGGTCACAGCCCTAGTTGTTAGTCCCTGATTTGGAGAAGATGAAGGCTCTGTCCCAGAGAGTTCACTGGGGGAATGAGGGAGCCTTTGGCAGGCATGTCTGTGCTGGGAGGTGCTCAGGGCCATTGAGGGGGGCTGGAGATAGCGTGAGGAAGAGGAATCAAAACTCCATTTATTGCGCTGGGCTTGTAGCTCAGTGGCAGAGCATTTGCCTGTCATGTATGAGGCACTGGGTTCAATCCTCAGTACCACATAAAAATAAATAAAATGAAGGTATTGTATCCATCTACAACTACAAAAATATTTTTAAAAAACCCTYCATTCATCTAAATGAGAACTTGCTAACTTGCCCAGTGCTATTGTATCCAGCACTGGGCAAAACCCGTCATTTGGGTTATCTCATTTGGTTCTTTCAACAATGCTATGGAAAAATATTATCATCAGATGAAGAGAGTGAGGCTCAGAAGAGTTAATTCACATGAGGTCACAGCATGCAAGTGGCAGAATGAGGACTCCACTGACTCCAGAGCCTGTATTCAGAGGCAATATATGATGCAGTTTTCTGATTGTTCCTAATTCAGTCAGAATATTACAGCTTGGAAATAGACCTCATTCCTATGTAGAAACAGGCCTGAGAGTTTTCAGCACTCAAGGATTGTGTGTGATGAGGGGAACTGGTCTATTTTAGTATCTGTATCTGTCAGACTTGTGTTACAAATTCTGGTTTAAGGGGAAAAAACAGATTAAGGAACATTAGGGGCTCCAAGAATCATGGGGGGGTAGGCATGGGACTCACAACCAGGAACACACCCAGCCACCCTACCAGGGCTTTTCTATTGCAAACATTCCCATGCTGCTGGTTAGTACCCCCACAGCCACTTGCTGTCTGCTGCAGCTTTCCCAGGGTGCCCCATCTTAAGCATCACAAGCTCTGCCCTGCTTGCACCCAAAGCTGGGGCTCTTTGCCATCCACTCCCAACCAATGGAGTTCCCTAGTCCACTTCCTCAAGTTGCTCCCTTTCCATTAAAAGTCACATTCAAGAAGCTCATGGGCAGAGCCCACATAACGCACAGCCTGGAAAGGCCTCTTTCCAGTTTGCTATGCTGTGCCCAGGCAGCAAGGGAAGCTGGGAGGATGCACTCAATGAAGCAGGTCTTCTGCAAAGGAAACTGCAAGCATAGGAGGAGTTCAAAGCTTGTGGGGCAGCTCCAGGCATAAGCAATGGCCCCAGGATTGGCCTGAGTCAGGCCATCAACCTGTCTGGGAGTTGGTTGGCTCAGGTGTAAAATGAGGAGAGTCATCGTGGTGACCTTTTCAGGAAGGCACTGAACATGATGCTCTTCTGGCATCTGTCCTGAATCTAGACTGATGGCTTCTTTRACAGGAGGGTGGGGGATGTGCCAGGGGCCAAGGGTATGGAAACCTGTCCTGTGGTCCATGATGCTCCTGCAGAATCAACAGGAGTTGTGGGCATAGGTGAGCCCCTGCATGCATGCGTGTGCGGGCACACACAAGTATGCACAACCATCCATCACTTGCTCTCAGATTGCACACAACCTGGCACATGCTGCCTACACTTTGGCTAGCCTGGTTGAGTGAGGCCTCTTCACTGAGTGAGGACCCTCAATACCATCAAATGAAGGCAGAAGACACATTGCACCACCTTCTTGGGAGAACTTTCCTCCCTGTGTGCATGCCCAGTGGGGGAAGCTGTGAGTCAGCATCCCATCCTGTGGGTCCCCCCAGGCTGATGAGGGCCAGGGGGCAGCCAGGGCTGGCAGAGAGAAAGGGCAGCTGTGGTCAATTAGGATTAGAATAGGAGCGCCTTGGCTGCTGTAAAGGGATTAGAGAGGGAGCCAGCCCGGAATGACTGTGTCAGGAAGTAAATTGATGATAATGTGAATTAGAGAGGAAAAATGACAGAAGAAAGGACAAGTTTATTCTAGATGGAGGTCTAATGGGCACCAGGAAGACAGAGCGCTTTGTGAGGTGATGTTTTCATTTTTCACCACAAATGCAAACTCTCACACAAGGTGCTCTAGACGGTTGGTCTGGCCAATACTGGGCTCTGGGAGGGGGTGAGCCAGTGCAGGGGGCCAGAGGTGGCTGGCTGGGGAGCTAGAATACAGGCCAGGAATCTGCTGGGAACCTTATCATCCACTTCCTATCCCTTGCCAACCCCTTCGTGAGGCAGCCTCTGTGTTGCTGTTGTTGTTTCTTTTGATACATTATTAGTTGTTGATGTGCATTTATTTATTTATATGTGGTGCTAAGAATCGAACCCAGTGCCTCACACATGCTAGGCAAGCACCCCACCACTGAGCCACAACCCTAGCCCCTCTGTGGTTTTTCTGCCCTTGTACCATGCCAGGCCTACAGGGGAGACTCTGTTCACACACATACCCCTGTCCCCTAGGCTTGTCCTCAAGCAGAGATGCAGGGCTGGCACTGCAGCTACTCTGTAAGAGGCTGTCCTGACACTGTCTCTATCCCACAGAAGGAGTAACAGAGGAAGGCAGATAGGTATCTGAGTCAGGTCTCCAGGTGGCTGGGCAGGCAAGAGAAATATGTCTCTGGGAATTCTTAGGCATGGGACTGGTGTGCATGCCTCCCAGGCTGTTTCCACTGTTGTCCTGCCCCTAAAGGCCATACTGCCTCCTTGAATGGCAGGAGGAGAGAAAAGTGTATCTGCTAGGGGGAGCTGAGTTTAAAGTGGAGGGGATGCATGCTAAAGTGCCCTCTCAAGCCATCTCCTTTGGTTACACACTAGCTCTATGACTTTCTTAAAACCTCTCCAAACCTTCTTTTTCTCATMTATAAAATGAGTATGATAATAATTCTTACTTGATAGGATTGCTGTGGAAATTAAGAGTTAACACACATGGCCGGGCACAGTGGTACACCTGTAATTCCAGGAGCTCAGGAGGCTGAGGCAGGAGCATCATGAGTTCAAAGCCAGCCTCAGCAATTTAGTAGGCCCTAAACAATTTAGTGCGACCCTGTCTCTAAATAAAATATAAAAAGGGCTGGGGATGTAGCTCAGTGGTTAAGTACCCAAGTTCAATCCCTGGTACCAAAAAAAAAAAAAAAGTTAATAGACATGAAGGGCTTAGAAAAATGACAATCCATAGTACTCTTATATCCTTATTTTATGGTCACAATAGCTCCACTGTGACCCCCTATTACAGATGAAGAACAAAGTCACATGTTCAAGGTTTTACAGCCAAGATACGGTAGAGCCCTCACTGGCAAACCCCAGGTCTCAGCCCCCAGTTATGGTCTCTAGGAGAATCACCAGATTGGTTTGGATTGGAGTGGGTGAGTTTCAGAATAAATAAGAGTTGTCTCATCTGGGGAATTAAAAGGCTTGCTAGGGCTGGGGTTGTGGCTCAGTGGTAAAGTGCTTGCCTAGCACATGTGAGGCACTGGGTTTGGTCCTCTGCACCACATAAAAATATTTAAAATAAAGGTAGGGTTAGGATTAGGGTTATTGAATTATGTAAAGAATCCTGAGATAGGGGAAGACAGCCTGAATCCCAGGCCAGGAACTGGCACTTATGAGGCTCTGTGGCTTTGGGCATGTGATTTTGTTTAGTGACTGTCAACTTCCTCACCTATAAAAAGAGGAGATTGGCCTAGTTGCTCTAACTTTGTGGTTATGAGACCAGCTGATGCCCTATTTCCCCCAGCTCCTCTCACCCCTGGGGAGGAGTTTTAGACCAGAGCAGATCTTCTGGAAGCCATACACAGACTGCAGAACTGAAGAAAGCAGACCAGAGGCAGTGGGAAGAACCTAGCATGATGTGAAGGCCCCCATGGCTCTGTCCTGATATCACAGGAAGGGCCTGCACCTGCCCTTTTACATACACACATTCCCAGTCACCTCTGTCTTCCAAGCCCAGCCCAACTCCACTTCCTCCAGGAGGCTGACTTGCCAGAACAGGTTGTGTTTCCCTAGAGCTTTTTCCTTAGAGCTCAAATCCTCTTCCTGACTCAACATCAGACTGGGTCAGGCTGATGATTAACATTTTTTTTTTTCCCAGCCCTGCACCCAACAAGGTCAGGAAAGGAGCAGTAAATAAGTTAGTGAGTTCCTGAATGGATGAATGGATGGCAAGGAAGCTGAGGGGGTTCTTCACTACTGTTTGCTCACTCAGTGCTATTGTTCAATTATACCAAAACCCCAGCTAAACTGGCCAGGCTCCAGGCTGGGAACTGGGGACAGACGCCCAAAAGATCAGAACCCAGCTCCTGCCTTTATGGAACTCTCCACCCTGGGAGGGGGGAAGTACAGAAAAAAGTGGTTGTAGTGTGTGGCCCAGGCTTTTGGGGAGTGTTAGTGCAGGGCAGGGGGCTTCCCAGAAGAGAGAGTGGGATACTGGGATTTGAAGGAGGCATAGAAGTTTAACAGATAGGAAAGGGGGAAAGGGCACAGGCTGGGTATTCCAAGCAGGAGGCCACCATGGGAAAAGGAACAGAGGCCTGAGAGTCTGATCAGTGGGTTAACTACCTACCCCTGGATTTAAATGAGATAATACATGTAAAGAACGGAGGAAATGCTCAGCCAGCTACAGTTGCCATTCACATTATGGTATACTTGAGACCACTGCAGACAGTTCTTTTCTGCTGGAGTATGGTATGTGAATGTGAGTGGCAGGGGCAGTCCTTGTGGGAGATTAAGTCCAGAGAAGCTGGCAAGAGTTAGACCACAAAGCATTGGATAAAGCCTGAATGCTTTTCATCTTCTAGATCAGGGGCCAGCAAACTTTTTCTACAATGAAACAGATAATACATATTGTCAGCTTTGTGGGCCACAGTCCCCGTTGCAACTACTCAGTTCTTCCACAGTAGCAGGGAAGCCACCATAGACAGTGGTAAAACAAAYGGGCAAGACTGTTCCAGTAGCATGTCAGTTACTACAGCAGGCGATTGAGGCCCAGGTTTAGAGCCCAGGGCCCCTGGTTGGCTGAGCCCAGMCCTTGGTGGCAAGGAGCCTTGAGATCTTGGGTGTAGTTATTGCCCTCATCAGACATGCTTTTCAGGAAACAGATCAGGATGAAGATCTTGGTGAGGGGGACAGTGACTTCAGCTGGGTGACAGGATAGAAGGGAGAAAGATGGGCAGACTATAAACAGGGGACCCCAGGTCCAACTTCAGTGCTCTCTCTCATCTCTTCCAGGCTCCCCCTACTATTACAGCGCTGCTGCCCGAGGAGCTGCTCCGCCTGCCGCTGCCACTGCCTATGACCGTCACTGACCCTTGGAGCCAGGCAGGCGCCAAGCACTTATGACACATATCATTGAGAGAGAGMGCCTCCCAGCCTCTCTACCAAGACAACCAGAGGGGCCCCAACAAGACCATCCCCCAACCAGCCCCTACTCATCTGAAACTCCCTCCCTCCCCTTTTCCTGCCAAGTTCTATGGTAGGCCTGTTGGACTTCTGAACCTTTGTCTGTTTCAARTGTCAATCAGTGAGCTTCTCCCAGTGGTGACCAGATCTCTGACAACCAATAGACTGTTTGCCAGACAACTGCAGCCCAGCCCAACCTGCCAGTCCCCCAGCTGTCTGACCTCTGTGAATCTTACCCACCATAGGTCTGGGAAGGGAAGATAGCTTGTTGCTTCAACAGCACCCGTGTATATACACCTTTTTGCTTTTCTGTGGACCTAAAGGTCCACATGAGCAGACTTCCCATCCCATGATGAGCTCACAGTGTCATAGGACATCTTCAATCTGACTCTGCACAGAGTATCCCCTCTGCCTTGAGTGCTCCCATCAGGTGGGCTTGAAGTTGTCCTTAGGACTGAGGATGTCCACCACAGGGCCCCAGTCCCCTGCTCATTCCTACTTCTCTAGTGTCTTGACTAGGAGTCTTACTGGGCTGGTTGGGCTGCAAGCTCCTACCTGAAGTCTCCCGAGAGGAATACATTTTGGGGAGATGCCCTGGTTTCCCGCCTCCATTTCCCTGGGGCCACTGCAGTATGAGCAACTCTTTTCCAGATCTAAGGACTCCAAGAGAACTGACTGGGAGAGCCTTCAGCTGTTGTTCTAAAGTAAGAGTTCATCTGAGTATTGATCATGTCATGGACTTTGAATGTCAGGGCTGGGTAGGTCTGGAGATCCCCAGGGAGGGGCCTGAGGCTTTCCTGACCCCTCAGACACTGGAACTGCTGAATGGAATAGGAATGTTTTCTGAGGCATACCCAGGCTTGAATCACTTGGGACACCTGCTGTGGCGACTTCACCCACCCATCCTCCAGGAACCTAGCAAGTGGATTCTGGGCAAGCCTGCCAGTGACAGACAACAGTTAGCAACAAGGACTTTCCCAGCACCATGGACCACAGAATCTACAGCAGTCAGCCAGAACTTATGATCCACCTCTCTGGGTAGCACCTCCCCATCCTCATGGAGCTGAGCATATAGCTGGGCCCAAAGGCATGGGGTTGGCAACAGATGCCTAACTTCATAAAGTATAGGCCTACCTGTTGGTATAAGGGCTGGGATGGTCAGAGCTGTGGCCAAGGCCATGAGAGCTCAGAGAGGGAGCTTGAGGAACTTACTGTGGGCCAGGCTGGTAAGAGGAAGTCAGCTGGGAAAACTTGGGAGACAGAGAAAGGCCTCCTGGGAGAGGGACAGAACAAGCAGTGATGAACTTGTGACTTGGGAGTAGTTTTGAGATGAGGGTGCCAGGTGCCACCATCTCTTCACCTGGAACCTCAATTCCTTGTACAGTCTCTCTTGCCAACTCAGAATGGCCAGGTAGAGCCTCCATCTAAAACCAGACTGAATTATAGCCATGATGGCAGGCTTAGTCATCGTATATGACAGTCTCTCATGTCTGTATGTCACCAGGTTAGCAGAGAGCTGGGGTAGAAAGAGCCTGGACTTGGGATCATCAGGCCTAGCCTGGCTACACCTCTGCTTTACCGTGAGTCCTCTGGCCCCAGCTGCCTTTTCCTTCCGGAGCCTTGGCTAACTTGTTACAGCAGGGTGGCCTGATTGCTTTCTTCTTCTCATCCTCCCTCCTGGGGAGCTGGGGCTGTGACAGGGTCATCTGGGGGCACGACCTCCATTTTTGAGCAAGCATATGGGGATGGATACCTGAGTCCTGCTAATGTTTGGATCCAATGGGAAACAAGAACATCCTGAGGGGTGGGAATTATAAGGGCCCTAAAAAAGACCTAGTCTGGCTACCCTAGGGGAAACTGAAGCCCAGCTTGGGGAAACCCAGGACCATGCAGAGAGTTAGAGAAGACTTCCTCTGGCCATCCCCAAGTGTTTTGTTCCCCCATACTCCAACAGGCTTGTAGAATACAAGAGACCCAGATTCAGTAAAGTGGATTCCCTAGCAGTGACTGGTGGAAGTAGGGCTGGGACTTAGACCCTGGACCCCTAACATGTGGTGATCTGTTACCCCCTTCTATCATCTCATATTCCTGGGAGAGGAGTTGACAGTGAGGATGGCAAGAGAGGTTTCTGCTCTAGACTGGTGTCTGGGGTTGTTAGAACTACCAAGGAAACCCAGTACCTGGCCAGAGGTGGAGACCAGAGAGTCACAGCAGGTGTACCCACCCCTGTGGAAACTGTTTGGCAGAGAAGAAAGGTGGCTGGGGCCAGAGCCCCCTCCAGGAGCTGAGGCAAACTGGCCCCAACCTCCACCTGCCAGGTAAGGGTGGAGCAGGATGTTACTTGGCTCCTCCTTTTCTCCCTCCTTCTCCCTCACAGGAAGTGGTGTTGGGGTCCTTGGCATAGGCCTTTTGGGCCTCTGCCCCTAGCCACTCCTCTCTTGGAATGATATGCACCCATATCTTTGGGTCCTGGTCCTTTCTTGTGGTTTCAGTCTTTAGGAAGAAGTCAGCCCCCACTGAACTAGCTGCTAAAGACACGTACCATCATTCCTCTGCAGAGCCCACGTGGCACCACAGCAGCCCCTGCCCCTGTCCCATTCCTGAYCTTGCCCTTGTAAGGGGCTCCCTCCAAGCTTTTCCTCTCTCACCTGAGGCCTTGATAGTCCTCAGATGGATTTATATTAATTAGACAACCACATGATTCCTGGGCTGCCAGGCAGAAGCACAAGAGCACACAGATGCACACGGAAGTTCACATACACACCTGCTCTCATGGATTCAGAGCTCCCAGGCTGCCCAGCAGAACTGCCTGGGGGCTTGGAGAGGATAGTTTCAAAGGACACAAGTTGTTGAGTAGATGCCAGAGAATTCTGAATGGAAATCCTGAGACTGGGGCTTCACCAGCATCCCGGTAGGAGGTCTGGGGCATTCCTCCATGGGCCTTCAGCTGTGTGTTCCAGCTCTGACTTTTTGAAAAAGGACATTTTCATACCATTCATTTAACTCCAACCTAGAGAAATCTGAAAACATATCAAATTCATCATCTCTTTCCCAAAGTGTACTGGTTAGGGTTAGTGCTTTCATATCTGATGTTGTATGGTGCTTTGCAATCCTTGACTAATGCCCATTTCACAGATGGGGAGATTGACATTTGGGGCTCATCAGGTAAGACAGAGATGAAATGAACTCTGATATCTGGGCCYCATTCTCTCCCTACAGAGTTGTGCTTCTATTGTGGGACTATAGGATTCAAAAACATCTGTCTCTCAATCCTCCAGAAACACCCCCAGACCCACAATGAGGGAAGAGCAGAACCTGGAGGCTGGCCTCCAGAAGGGCCCTGGGGTTAGTGGACTTGTCAGTCTCACTGATTCCCATTAACACTGAAACTTGTAGTCTTTCCTCAAATTCACACCAATGYTTCTGAGATTTCATCCAGGCTCCTTCCCTACTGCACCTTGAGCTCAGAGGTAGTCAGACCTTGTCCAAGGATACACCGTGATGCCTGGCAGGCCCAGATCCCATTCTCAAGGTGCAGGGTACCAGTATTATAAGCTGTCCCCTTACTTCACTTTTCTCTGCTCTTTCTGATTTGGAACAGACTGTGATGATATGCAGGAGTGYCTGAGCTAGGATTTAGGGTTCCCACAGGCTCCCAAAACACAGATGGCAATCTCAAGGGCCCTCAACTGCTTTCCCAGCCAGGCAGGCAATGTCATCCCATTCCCCAGGCAAGGCAAGAGGCAGCATGGCATGGTGGGGCCATGATGCCCAGGAGTGTGGAAACTTGTAAATCACTGTCAACCAAGAGAAAAATATATCTATGGTCCAAATCTGACCCATTGGCCCTCAACTTGCCTCCCAATCTTTGTCAAATGCCCCCTTTCTTCCTCACCTCCCTGACCTTCATCGTACATTTGGAGAAGGTGGGAGCCCAGAGAAGTGAGAGATGTGCTTCAGGTCATCTAGCAAGTTGGTGGCAGAAATAGGCAAACTCACCCTTCTGGTCACATCCTTGGCTCTGGCTTTGAAGGAAGGGTGAGGTGAATGGGAGTGGTGGTGGTTTAGCTCTTAAAGAGAGCTAAATGCTGCTGAAGCCTTTCATGCATACAACAAAGAACCCCAGCTGTGGCCACAGAGCACTGATGGATGAAATACCTTCATGAGGAGTCATACCCCAGAATACTGCCCTGCCTCTGGCAGCCTTGGCTCTAGCCACCCCCTTGTGGACGACATTTCTGCTGGAGGATAGCTCTAAGCCATGGGGAGCAAATCTGAAACACAAAGCAAGCACTCCCTACAGATAGCTAGAAATGAGCTATGTTTCAGATATATCATCCCAAGAATGTAGAGAAAAATCCAGGCCCTTGGATAGGCCAGGCCCAGGTAGAGAAGGCTGATCCTGCAGGACCCTGGGCTAGACCATATCCACAGCAGCCCTGTGGAGAGGCTGACTCTGCAGCCCTGGCCTTGTCACCCATCTGGAGCCTTCCTCTGATGGTTTCCAGGCACGCACACTGGTGTTCCTGGTGAATATATTCTTTTAGTTCTCTTGGCCTTGGAGAGGTCTGAGGCAAGTGCACTTCTTAAAAGGTAACAAAATACATGATTGGAAAGTTAGACAGTCAGGCCGTGACTCCTAGCCTGCAGTCTGCCCCACCTCTGGTGGCCCCTTCAGCCCCTTGTTCCCTGTTGTCCCCGGGCCTCAGGATTCCCTCTTGCATATTCATGGGGGGGAGCCACAGTGTTGATATGCCCTTCCCCACTGTCAGCTCAGGCAGCCAGGTCCCTAGAGGTTGGCTGCAGAGGAGGGCAGTGAGTCCCTTATGTGCATGCACCTGATGAGGCCGTGAAACTGCTGCTCACTGGAAGCAGCAGATTCTGGTTTTCCTTTCGTTCTTTGGTA